TGAAGTGGCTGCTTGCTTTTCCAAGGTCATGTAGCATGTGTCTAGCCTGCAGGTTCTTTGCTGGTGGATATGTTAGCCCTGATTGTGTTTAAACATTCAGGATAAATTGTTAGCTGTGTATGTAATGTAAAAAGCGATCATCTCAAAATAACAAAGAAACAAGTGTTCTCTTTTTATGCATACCTTTTTGTTGTTAGACAATACCAGTATGCACAAAGGGGCTTCTCCTACAGATTAGAGGCTTGTTAGCAAAGGAAGCTGAGCTCTCCACCTGCCCCTGCTCCTCTTCATCTGCGTGTCCCTGAGCAAATCCCTGTTCTCTTGTGAGCCTCAGTTTCCCTACCTGCAGAGTAATACTGGTACTTTACTTTGTGAATGGAGTTAATATCTAAGAGTGGACAGCTCTCTGGGGAGCTGCTTATTATTTGTAAATCCTTTTATGAAAATCAGACAATTAATGGAATTATTATTCTCTCATTTATCTGCTTTGGGCTGTAATGACATGTGCAGAAGTACTGAAATGATTATGAACAGTATTATTAAATGTGCAATTATGGGTGAGCTTCAGAAATGTGAATGTAAAAGTTTAACCTAGGTGGTTAGTGATTTCTGTAAAATGTTTATTTTGATGTCCTGTGTACATATCTCACACAATGGAAGAAATTAACCTGTAATGCTTCGCTGCTTATAAGTAAGAATTTGGGGACAATCTTTTGGGATATTTATGTTTAACATAAATAATGAAGCTACAAGTGATTTGAACAGATTATATTTCATGGGGTCAGTAAAATATTTACATCAGACTTTCTTGTAAGAGGACCAGAATTTTGACAGAAAGTTTCAGGGTACATCTTCCTTATCCCAGTCTCTCCACATATGAAATAGAATGGCTTTTCTTCAGCCTACAAACCAGAATCACTTGAGATAACAAGCCAGGGAGCATTTCTGATATGTTAGGTCATGCAAATATGGCTAGACTCTATGATGGCAGTGGGCCATAGTAATAAGCAACAAGGTGCCTGGGGGAGTCTGGGCTCCCTTTGAACCCATGCAGCGTGTCCCAGTCCTGCTGCCGTAAGCACCATAGCGTCTCTTCTAGAAGGCACGATGTAGCTGGCTTTCAGAAAAAAACATATTCACCATCCCTATGGTCCTCTGTACAGAAGGAGGCTTGATGTAGATGGGGAGCCACAGTGCTGTCCTGAAAATGTAGGTAATGTCAGATGCAAGTTAGGTCTGAGGATCTTGCACTCTCTCAAGCATCATGTTCAACTGTTTATACTTTCTGACTTGTTCATCCATGGTACAGCATGAGTCCGTTGATACGGCCTTAAGAGAAGGATGGAAAGAAAAAAGAAGAATTATTTTTAAAACACTTAATAGTTACAGTTATGAGGATTTTGTATGTAGTACTATGTAGTATTTTAAGATCATAAAACTCCAGTTGTACCTTTTTTAGAAAAAAACGGTGGAAGGGTTTTGAAATTACCCCTTGTGTCACTGAGAGATCAAAAGAGATTAGACCTCAAACTTTTCACCTTTCCAGGATAGAATAACACCGCTTTTTATGGTATAATTTGTCTGAAAGTAAAATATTCTTCTCTGTGAAAATATATTTTGGCAGTTTGCCATATATATATGTACCTTTTTTTTTGTATTGCAATTATACCTTAAGGCTTTGTTATGCTATTTACTGTATAATATATATTTAAAAAGACAGTTGCTCTCATTTTTACTGCAAGAATTTGCAGTGTTAACATACAGCAAAGGACAACTGACAAGGATAAACAAGGAAGGAAAGGGCAAAGTCACTGCAAATATGAATTATATTCAGTTCCTCAAATAAATATAAAGTATTGCTTTGCCTTTAATTCTGCCCACTTGCACCCTGCAATTTGTCTTTCTGTGTATAACAGAAAATTGTCTTATACCAACAAGCTACTGTTTCAGCCCTGGTTTGAGGCAGGGCAGGTAGCAGGTCCTGGGTCCCCCCCCATATAGGTATTGTGGCAGGAACAGAATGTGATCCTGGAAGTAAATCTGAGTGCATTTGGTGGAGGGGGAAAAGCAAAGGGCAGCGACAGTGAGGAACTGAGTGCACCGTAGGCAACTGCCTGGAGGCAGGCACAGACAGTCTGCCTGGGAACTGTCTGGGCTTCCAACAGCAGGTTCAATCTAACAGGACTTAATGGTCTCCAGCTTTGCCTTGGCTTGAGCCCTTTTGCTTCACGGGAATCTCCAGAATGGTGCAGAAAACTCTGCAAACAGTACATGGGATCCATGGGTATATTGATCAGCAAGGTGCTTGATTGAACACGTCTAGCTTGAAACACAGGAGTAGTTGTAGTAATTTCAATCTGAATGTGAACGTTTGCCTCCTGCAAGGTATGTTACATGTAAAAATGCCCACAGGTAGTTTATTTCATGGAGCAAAATTTTGTGAATGGACATGCCCTCGGGTTGTGGCTTGAGAAGATGGAGAGTTTGGCAGCAGTGCTGGACCTGTATCCCCACTTCTTGTCTCCACCCTGTCCGGGTGTTGACCCCACTGTCAGTTCCATGGTGCCAACCCAGAGGTTTATGGACTGTTGGATCATTAAACCACTGAAGAGTTTATTTGGAGCGAAAAAACAAACAAGCAAACAGCAGTTCCTGAAGGACTGTTTGGCTGCAGCAGAGGACAGAAGACATAGCTGGGGCTATGGGAAAACCTCAACCTGGCATTGCTGTCAAAGCTAGCTTGACATTGAGTCACAACTTCAGGGTACATTGGCTAGTATCATGCATCATTTGTCTATCAGGGAAGAAATAAAGGATATATGGAATGTATATGGAATAATTTATTTCCATTTAATGTCAGGAGTTGGGATTTTTCTTAACTGCCTGCAGAGTGTTTGGGCGATAGGACCTGGACTGCAGAAGAGGGTACAGTAGCAATTCAGTTTGTCCATGAGCTCAAAGGCTTCATCCTTTAGTCAAAACTCAAAATTAAGGAGCTTAAGTGAACCATTGTTCAAATATAGTTTGCTTCTGCGGATTCTCCCTTGTATTTGAAATAAATGTCACTGTATATTTTAATCCAATGCTTTTTGTAAACCAATGTTAAACCCATACTTGTAGTTCTGCTGCAAGTCAACCTTTTTCCCATGCCTTCAAACAGATGTTGTGTTGAGATCTTTTTACCTTACCAGAATTTTTTCCTGCAGGACTTTTTTTTTTTTGCTTTAGTTTTCCAGAATAATTTGTTAAATATAAAATGTTCATTGTTTCTGGCCCTATGTTGAGTATTTCCCAGTTCTCTGTCCCATGCAACTTTTCTTGCAAGCTCTACGTTAATATCTCCTCCTTCCTTTTTCCCATTTTATCTACTCTGCAAAGGATACAATTTTTTTTTTTCCCTTCCTTCCCAAACATCTCCTACCTGTTTTTTCACTTAGATGGCACACCATGCTTTTCCTCAGAGACATCACCATTGTTGAATTTGTATCTTGTATAAACTCACACACAAACCTGGGAGGAGGAAAGGTGGCAACAGAATGAGAAACACAGCAACTTGAAGATGTGTATCTGTGTGTGTATTTTACATTTTACAAATGTGAAATACCATAGTGCTATATGGTATTTTGCCTCTGCTTGCATTTCTGATTTTGATTTTTGTATGATGTTGAGTTTAAATTCACCAGACTATCTCCTGTTAGATGTATTCAAAGATCAAACAGTTTCTAGATGTCACGAGGATTCCAAAATTAGATTAAAAGCTTGTTCTGGATGAGGATGCTGAAATCTAGAGTTAAATATCAGTGATAATTTTAGTGGTTGCACAATATCATTCTTGATGATAACATTTCCAGAATGTGGAGTAAAATTGACTTAACAAGGTGAGGTATGACATGAAATTTATCATTGATAGAGTCAAAAAGAAATTATTTGCACTTCACATTCAGCATTGTCCACGTAACTATAATAATGATGCTTCTTGCCAACCTTCTTTCAAGCAACAGATACAGGACGCAGCCAGAAGCAGAACGCTAGCCTTGAACAAATCAGTGATTTTTGTCACACATTTTCTTTTGAAATTCTCTTAATCTGCAAAAGAAAAATGAACTAAAATTCCTTGATACATGAATATGCTAGAAAACATGCATTTTTGTTTCTTCATATATGACTTCTGGAGGTTTCTTTGAGGCTTATCATGTTTTCCTTTTGTAACACATAATATATTAACTTTGGTTTTCCTTCTGTTTTTTTTTTTTTTTATCGCGTGAAGTAAACATTATTCCAGGATGTTCCAGGTGAAGTTCTGCGGGTTTCACTATTCAAGTTACCAGACTAGCTTTTCACAATGGATCCCTGAAGGCAGTTAAAATCTGTAATTGTATAAATGACGCATGTGCTTAGAGTGTTCAGATTTTTATCCCAAGAAGAATATTTTTTTCATCCCATATGAAGAATAATCTCCCCCTTCAGGAAACCATTACAGTTCAGGAAAGATGCTTTATTAAGTGCCTGACTTAAAGAGTACTTTGAAATAGCCTGGATGTTAGGTGCATACTGAAGAGCTGTTGTAACAGTCATCCCAATTCTTTCCAAACACGGATTTACTGTGGCTTTATTTCCTACCAAGTAATGTAAAATGTCAAGGAGGAAAAAGGGGCTGTGTAACGTATCAAATGCTCTGGGGCTGCATCGTGCCTTGATTGCAGAGGATAAAAATCCCAACACTGTAAATCTGAGTTTCATTAATAGATTTGGGCCCTTTATACAGGGATACTTCACCAGGACTCTTTTCGGTGGGTTTTTCACATACCACATGTTATTTATAGGCGTATGTGTGTTTTATTACTGAAAGGATGAGGTTTTATTTTTTAAAAGATTAAAGGGACAGACCTATTTACAATCATATGTGTGTATTCTCAGCTGTGTATACTTGTGTGCCCTTTATTCAACCTTATACGCTCGTGTGCGCTTAAATTTATGCTGGTTTTGTTGTTTTCTTCCAGGGGAAGACCCTGAAACAAGAAGAATGAGAACTGTAAAGAATATAGCAGACCTGAGACAGAATTTGGAAGAAACTATGTCCAGCCTTAGAGGGACCCAAATAAGCCACAGGTATACTGGTTTTGTGTAGATTGCTAAAAATTTGGACCGTAGGAGGGTATTACTAGTTGCTGAATGAATTAGAGACTTGCAAGGGAAAATTAACTATGACACTAACCATACTGTTTGAGAACTGTAAAGAATATAGCAGACCTGAGACAGAATTTGGAAGAAACTATGTCCAGCCTTAGAGGGACCCAAATAAGCCACAGGTATACTGGTTTTGTGTAGATTGCTAAAAATTTGGACCGTAGGAGGGTATTACTAGTTGCTGAATGAATTAGAGACTTGCAAGGGAAAATTAACTATGACACTAACCATACTATTTGCTAGACTGCCTCAACAACTTAAATGTGACTTTAATATACTTACTGTCAAAGTGTCTTATACAATCATTCACAAAGATGGTTATTGTTTCATATACATCTACTTAGAATCCTATAAAAATTATTTTAGGTTATTTTATAAGTAGAGGTTATTGTTTAAACAAACATGTGTGCACATGGAGAAACAAACACACAGAGAGAACATTTTAAAAAAAAATATATATTCTTCCAGCCTTTGCTTTCCCTTGTTTCTCAGGAACAGAGAAAGCACAGTTCACTGACTTCTCCATTTTGTTTGGTAGCACACTGGAGACAACTTTTGACAGCACTGTGACAACTGAGGTGAATGGAAGAAGCATACCAAGCTTGACAAGCCGGTCCACCCCAGTGACTTGGAGGCTAGGGCAGGCCAGTCCTCGGCTGCAGGCAGGAGATGCCCCGTCCTTGGGCGCCGGTTATCCTCGCAGCGGCACGAGTCGCTTCATACACACAGACCCTTCTCGATTCATGTACACCACCCCGCTTCGTCGAGCAGCTGTTTCTCGCCTTGGAAATATCTCACAGATTGACATGACTGAGAAAGGAAGTGGTGATTTGGACATGTCCTCTGAAGTTGACGTTGGTGGCTACATGAGCGATGGGGACATTCTTGGGAAAAGCCTCAGAACTGATGACATCAATAGTGGGTAAGTAGCACTTTTTCCCCGTTTGAGCTAATGCATGATTGGCAGGTTTAATAGGATTTTTCTAACAAATTCTGGCACACAAGTGGAAGTGGCGTTATGGTTGCTACATAAAAATATACATATAAAAAAAACCCCAAAACCACAAAAAAACCCTAAGCTGCCCGTGATGTTCTCACCTGCCTTCAAATTCATTTCTTCTCCTTTAACATCAACATGACTTTGCTATGAACTTTGATAAGAGCACAGGTACTTCTTATTACTTACGGGAATTTCTTAGTTATCTGGTAAACCATCATTTTGCACTGCTTGCTCTGGGATGGCTCTTCTTTTGGTTTTTTTATGTTTTATTTGAGATGGTAGATATGGTATTGGATGCAGCTGATGAAAGGCAGTTGCTGACAGCACTGACTTTCTCTGTTTCCACCTCAGATATTGTCTAGTATAGTCTGTGTGATAGGCCTTTATTGCAATTTTTCAACTGTGCATATCACCTGAGCTGTAGGAATACCTTTTCATAAAAGAATAGATCAGTCACTCTCCTAGCATACCCAAGAAGAAAAATGACAATTATTTTAATTTTGTTTGCTTAATCAATTGATTGACTTTGGGGTACTGCACTCTCTGTGTTTCAAATTACTATTTAGCAATTCTTATATCAATCTTGGAACATAAGTCACTTCACTCCTATGTATGTTAGAATTCCTAAAGCATCATTTAAAAAAAAAAAGCCATGTTACTGTTTTACTCATACTTAAATTACTGTTCAGTGCTGTCGTTGGCATCTCAAGGCTGCTTGGTGGCTGAGGTAACATTGATTTGAACGGAAGTTCCACAGAGTACATGGCCGTGTCACACTACACTACTTTGCTCTGTATAAATTTAGGACTCTCGCTGTCAATCTAATCTTTTAGTTTGAAGTATAGCTATGAGTAGAGAATGGTGGCCAATGACATTGGGTATGAAACGTTCCTAAGGGCAAATGTAAGTCTGTGATCAAAGCTCTCTCTAGAGTAGTGTCTCACCTCAAGCACCATCCAAAGATAGATCTCTAGAAAAAGCATAACTATAAAAGAAGCATATTCCTGTATCTCCCTGGCGCACTGTCTCAGTGATCTGTGAATGGAGTACTGCTGGCAAGGTTGTCCACAGCAGAGCATTAGTGGCTGTCAAGTAGGATGTGTGCTAGAACAGAGAAAAGACATGTGGAAAATGTAATACTTTACTGTCTGAAGACCTTTTATCATAAAGGAAATATAAATGCTGCCTTTGATGGATGAATGAGTTTATTTTAAAAAAAAAAGATAGGGGAATGCTTTGCAGTGCCTGATGGGTTGTATTAATTAGCTTATCACATTAGAGAATTAATATAGTCATCTTGTGTGACTTTTCTTTGCATCTGTAATAAGGATGACTCAATAGACAGTAAGTTGCAATATGCTCAGTTAACATTTTTAGGTGTGGTAAATGTTAAAAACAAGTTAATAAGCTCTGAAATTTCAGGATTCACTGAGGCATGTAAAGTCTTATCTCCTTTATGCCTCTTCCATTTTCAGTTTAATTACTTTAAACACTTGGGGACAGGAATGCAGCAGTAATTAGAAATTAGTGCAAGGAAGACCTGTTGCACTTGTTAAGTCTCTCCATTCGGGCCTTACTTACACAGGAAAGAATCCATGTAGACTGGATTGCATTCAAACCACAGCTAAATTTAATATGCGATTCCAGAGCCTTGGAACCTACTGCATAATTCACCCGTAGCTAAATAATCTGTCAAAAAGTCTAAATTTTGTCTTTAATAAAAGGATAAATCTAGTGTGTAAGTGTGACTGTTGATTTACCTTTGAAAACAAATGTGAAGTTACCTTCTGCAGACTCCAGATACCAGGGTTTCAGAAATCCCTTGCTGAACTGCAGGCCAAATCTTACCAGCGCGTAAAATGCCTCAGAGTTTAGTTAAAAATAAGCCCACCAACCCTTTGTGTTTTAATGCACTTGAGGTTGCCCTCATCCAGATTGCCATCCAGGACACGATGCCATCTCAAACTGTAGCTGTCTCACAGGGCTACCCTACCGCAGCTTTGCTCTCAAAATCTGCACCAGCTCACGCACCCCGAACCATGTGGGTGGAGGCTGGTGCTCCCGGGCTGCTGTATTAGCTCCACAGTCTCTGGGACAGTTGATTTCAATTAAATCAGCTCCCAGAAGGAACTGCAGGGAGAGGGCCAACAGAACATCTGGAGCACTGGTGGTGTGTGTGTGCCTTGGCTTGTGCCTGGGAATCTGTGCAGAGTTATTAAATGTTTGTGTACTTGGACACATGCTTCGACTGAAAGATGGATTTGAGTGGCACCACTTCATGGCTCAAGGAGAACGTGTGTTAAAGATTATTTGAATTGGGCGTGAACTCCAGTAGATCATTTTAGCCACCATCCTAGCATTGGGACTACGCTTATTTCAGTAAGCCTGTAAATTTACTTTGAGCAGGTTCACTGAGGTATACCAAATTTTTTTTCTGTGTATGTATACTTCTATGTTAAGTGCCATACATGTGCATGGTCCTTCACAAATAAATTTGTGCAAACTCTGTACTAGGTTGCTACACTAAAGTTACCAAAAACTACAAGAGGGAAATGTAAAAAACAAGAGCATAAGAGGGAAGACAGTTTAATGAAAGGTCCTTTGAGAAAATGATGGACAGGCCTTGAGAGTAGGACAGGCTTGTGATACTGCTCAGTTATAAGCACCAAGACCTCTCGTAGAGATATTAAACTGTAGGTAGGCATTCCAGAAATTATTGCTGCTGCTTGAAATTCAAAAACTTTTAATGGTTCTCCAGTGAGTAAGCAGCACTATACTCACTGTTTGATTCATTAGTCATTCATTATAATGTGAAGTGGTAGGAATCAAGCTAAAGGAACACAGATAGAAACAGATTCTTAAATGTCAGTGTAAGGGCTTCAGTGGATATCTCATGTCTGAACGATTGCATCTCAGCAGGGACTATGGGTTTGGGTTCTCAATTTCTGTTCCCATTTAGATGAATGCTACTGATTTTTTTTCCTTTTTTTTTCAACTGGAGTTATGCTCCTTGCATCTTGTGCTATTATTTGACAAAACCGCAATACTTAAAATGTACTTAAAATTTTTGATGATACTTGAGGGTTTCAATCTAAATATATTTTAATAAAACAGGTTGGCCTGTAAGCCATCACAGAAAAAGACAAATGATCCTAGGAAATAGGCATATATCTGATCTCCCTACACTGGGCACATAAAGTGAGAATATTTAGTGTAAGTCTACCATCTAATAGGACAGCTCGTACCTTAAACATTTGAATTCCACAGTCCATTAACTTTAGAGTGAAACATCATTGCCAGATGGCTGCATTTTGCACTGATTGACCACACATTTATTTTCAGGTACATGACAGATGGAGGACTCAACCTATATACAAGAAGTCTGAACCGAATACCAGACCTAGCTGCCTCTCGAGACGTCATTCAAAGAGGGGTTCATGACGTGACTGTGGATGCAGACAGGTAACAGTGCTTTGCTAAGTAAAAAGCTATCTGAGCTTTACAGATATTTTTCATCCTTCGTACCTGCTAATATATCACCATTTTGTTCACAAGGAATAGCAAGAGAAAGCAAGCTTCTGAGACTGCTAGGTTTCTGAGCACACAATACGCCAAATACCACGAGTGGGGAAAAAGCAAATTTCTCACATTTCTGAGCACACAATACGCCAAATACCACAACGAGTGGGGAAAAAGCAAATTTCTCACGTGGGAAGGGGACTTAGGAGGAATTTATTGTTGAAGATGTAAGAGAAAATGTTAAGAAGCCCAGACTTTACTTGCAGTCTTGAATCTCTGAAATGGGACATGATTTTTACAGGTTGCCTTGTCAATTGATGGGCATAGGGAGAATACATACAGTCTCTAGGCAGCAGAGAGCTTGCGTGTGCCTGATGATGTGGGTCAGAACATGCATTTGGAGTTGGCTGGAACCAGAACCCTGGTCTCCTCCACCCATTTTGCCCTCTGCAGGTGTCAGAAGAAGGCAGTACCCGTGAGCAGTGGGAAGCGAGAAGTGGGGTTATATCCCATTGTCTATGCAGCGTGAAAAAAGAAACAACACTATCCTGCCCTTATGCGTGTATGTATGTGTGTGAGCATAAAAACATGCTCCCACTAGTACTTCTGCAGATTAGGCAAGTGCTTTCTGTTTCTTTTCCTTGAGCTTAAAGTAGATTCATATTGGTGGCTTGTATCCATGTCTGAGAAATAAAAATTCATAACCCAACTTTTGCAGAACTTTGAGCTGTCAGCTCTGAGGTTTTGGTCAGACCATCATAGAGATAAGGAGCAGCTGTGAAATTTGGCAGTCTTCAGTTTTAGGGGGTTGATTTCAGTCCCATCTTTTTAAAATCAAGTTTCCTTTAAGGAAAAAATGTATTTAATCAGGAATGGAGAAAAGGTTCACGAAGTGGCTCTGGTTTTACAAACACAGCAAATTAGTTGAAGAAGTTCTAGGATATTAACCTAGGTATGATATAGTTTTTACTTTTCACAGTTTTCTGGTGAAAATATGCCTGTGACACAAGTCAGGGATAGTCTGCATTAGTCAAACAGTGCATGCAATGCATCAGGATAAAGAAGGTAATTTTCATCTAGAGAACCAGTTACTTAAAAAAGAAGGTCGCTTTAGCTGACATATTAGCATTTGTTGACCTTGCAGAAAAAGTCTATTTTAGATAACACTTCAAATGAACATGGCTCGGCTCTTTGGAACGCAAGTATTGATGTGATGCAAAGACCAGAGAAAGTGTACAGTAGGCGTTCAAGAAAATAATTTGGGTAGAACTCAGGCAGTAACAGAAGGAGAAAATGAGAAATGAGATGTGGGCAGGAGGGACTTTTGTGGAGCTCTGTATGTGAGAACAAGAACCTTAAGCTCAAAGTGGGAGAGAGGGTGGAAAATTTAGAGGCTGGGAGTCATGTAATTGAAGACAGAGAATGTCGCTAGCGCCCACGTTTTTGTATGTCTCTACATCTTTTTTTCACCTGGGCGTGAAGTTATTAGAGCTCTTCCCACCATGCAATATTCACACCCAGGTTTCCAACCACGCACATTTTCCCTGAAAAAAAGAGGTCTAAATTAAGGGATTTTTAAATTTTTCTTAGTATTCCTCAAACTCTAGATGCCACTCAAACACTTTGTGTTTGTTTTGCTTTGAAGTGTTATTCAGTAATGTATGTGTTAATTTGTTCTATATAGTGTGCAGGTACATACATGTTTTGCATGGGAAACCACAGGCAGGCTATCATCAGTTCTCAATTAATGAGATTGTCCAGCATTTCCCAGTACGTAAATCTGTTTTGGTTTGTTTATACAGCTTTGTCAGAATGGCTAAAAATGTTGTGCTAAAAACTACTCTGCTGTTTCTGAGTCTTTCATCTCCGAGTCTATCGCTTGCCAGGTTGTGGAGCAGGGACTTCCAATTTGTCAGGAGATTATTTTGGGTCTTGAGTGAAAAGTTGACCAATTTTATGCAAGATACAAGGCTTTTTAAAAAAATGAAAGTCATGTGTATTCAGGAAAGATTTATTTGATCTCAACAACTAAAATCTCAATATATTCCATCTTCACTGTGCATTTGCAAACTGCTCTTGACATTAGCAAACTGCATGAGCAATCCCCAAAGTCATTTTTGAGCTTAAAGCCTACAGATGTGAAGTAGGATTTATCCTGTAATGACTGCTTTTCCTTACACAAAGAATAAAACCTGGACTCCCGTGCTCTTCTGGACCCTCTAAACGGGGTGTCATGGAACAGACTATATGCTATCATGTAATTAAAAAGTTTTTCATAGTGCACAGGCATGAGGGATTTAAATTACGGATGTTCAGACAATTCTGGCATTTTCTGACCTTTCAATGCTTGATTTTTACAACCTTAATCATGCTTTATTGATATGGATTTTTTTTGTGTGTAAATGTATGCTATTCCTTGAAGTAGCAAAAAGGTGTACAGGAAGTAGAAAAAATTAAATATTTTTGTGAGTTCTGATGATAACAAAACACATGCTTGCCAAAATGGGTCACAAAAAAACTGTATTAGGTCAAACACAAACACACAAAATTGTTTATGCTGATCTTCAACAATGTGTGTCACATTTATGGTATGAAATCAGATGGAAAAAGCAATACAGAGATTGCTGAGACTCTCGCTTTGTTTGGCAGGATAGCTTTTGGTCCTTCACAACAGCGTGGGTACCTGAGATTTCATCTTATCTCACGTAGTGTTTTAGATCTTATTTTTTCTACTCTGAACAAAAAATAATAGGGTTTGTGTCAAGGCTTCAAGGTATGCCTTGCCACTGGTATGATGAACTTCCATGAAAGAGGATTATTCGCCTCTCTATCATCCCTGTAGATATGTGAAGGACATATGCATTTTCTCTATGGTATCATTAGTATAAGCCTTTTTCATAATTGACGTGATTTGCCCTGGCCTTTCTGTTGTAAAGGACTCTGCTGCATCTCTGTGCAGGCAGAAAATAAATGATATGCTGCAAATATCTGATTTACATTAGCAGCCAGGAAAGAAGTTTCAGTATTCTGTCCATCACTAAAGCCAGCAACTTTTGCTGACAGCAACCCCATGTTCTTCATGAAAACTGAACTTGGGTTTTCTCTGACAACCTAAATTACAGCTTCTGCTTGTATTTTAAAACTTTTTCGTTTTGTCAGCTGGCAGTACATTATTTTTCAGATAGGTGGGCTGATGATATCTCTAAGGGTAATGCCATTTCTGGGAAATGTATACTTTCAGACTGATTCTCATTTCATGGATAAATCAGGAATAATTAATTGAAATTAAGAGCATGGAACTGGTGTAAAAAGACGATCAGGTCCCCAGTTTGATTCCACTCTAAATTGGTTTCAGATAGCACCTGCATCTCCACTTCTTGCCAAAAAGCAAAGGGTTGAAGGATCTCCATGTGGAAACCTAGCCTGAGAGGGCTCATCCAAATAATAATATTAAATTGCTCTTTGAACAACTTCATAAAAAGTTAAATTCATGAATGCAACATAAGCCAAGGCTGAAGTGTTGATTGCATACTGCTCTGGAAAGCACATTGGTGTAGCAAGGAACACAGCATATTTGCTTGTTCTAGGGAAAGAATTGTAATGGTTCAATGAAAGGCTGAAGGGACACTGGCAGCATCAGATGTCAACAGTTGTATCATTCTTCTTTTGATTTTTTTTCTAATTTGGATTCTTTTTTGGTCTATAAATGCCTATTCCTTGCAATTTACCTTGCTTCAGATACCATAAGAAATTAATTAGAGAGGAAGATGGATTCTCTGCAGCGGGTGTAACTTGGGATGTGGCTGGGAGAGTTCTCAGTTGTATGATATTACTTTTCATTTATTGTTCTGTCTTCCTCCTCTACACTCTAGCATTTGCCTTCTGGGACTCTTAGAGGGAGTATTTGAGGAACATTCTTGGAGTTCAAAACCCTTTTCAAAGTAAGATGAGCCAAAAGAGATTAGACGTAAGCACATAAAATGAATTATGTTCTTGGGAAGAATAAGGTTTATGGAAAAGTAAGTTGCAATGTTTCCAAACCACCCTGATAAAAACTGTTAGGAAAGTTTAAACAAGCCCTTTTAGAAGGGAATGTAGCTCCACTGAGTTCAACCATTGTCCTTCCACCCCCTATACCTGCTGAATTCAGTGCACTGTGTCAAAAGCCAGAGTTTCCTTCACTTTCATCAGCCAAGAGTCAACGTAAGTTGTGCAACCACTTTCCCCTCACATCCCTTGAATGCACTATTCTTTTTTTTTTCACCTTTTCTTTAGATGAAACCTAAAGCTTTAAAGGTAGCTTATGCTGCTTAGTGTGCTTTTATCATGACCCGCTTCAGCTACTTTGCTGTTGCATTGAATCTGAGCCCCCGTTACACAGAGTTCTTGTGCACAGGGAGTCTTTAAAATGCTTCCACCATCTGTCACATGTGTAGAAGATTTGGCAGTTATCTCAGACTAGCTCAGGCTGGCCTGTTTGTTCTCAGCCAAACCATAATCACCATAATACATTATTAATTATAATTATAATAAAATAATTCCAGATTTTGCCTGTAGTTTATTAACTAACTTCCTGCATGAATGACTATAAATCTTCTTCTGGTGTTTGTCTGAGTAGATGAGCCTTGAGTTGGAAGATTGTACTTTTGGAAAAGGAACTTTTCCAGAGTTCAAAGGAGTATTGAACTGGGAGCCCTGTTTCATAGGGTTGGTAGTACCAGAAAAGGCTGAGACACATCATGAACAGTAACTTAAAATCCTAATAGAATACAATGCCTGCTCTCATGCTGTAAAGTTTTGGCAGCACGCTGAAATTGCTGATGTCATTTGGAATTTAACCCTTTGGGATGTTGTTCAGTGGACAGGCATACTTTCTGTATTGCTTTTCTATCCAAATGCTTCTGCGTAATGTGTATTTCAGCACTGCACTAATACTGTGCTTT